GTCTCATGGATTTTCTGGCTGCGGCTAGCTTCGAACTGTGATCCTCAGAGTTCAACCTCCTACATAGCTAGAATTACAGGCATGACCCACCAGCACCTGGCTTATACTCATTTTTACTCATGTATATTGATTTACAGAGGTTTTCCACCCTGGCATTCATGCATGTAAATATTGTACACTGATTGATTTAACATTCTCTATGTCTCTGTCTTTTTCCTGTCCAGCCTAAAGTTTCCTGTTTTGCAACAGCTTTCAGTGGATTGCCTTATGCCATCTTCACCTATAGAGGCAATGAATTTTGGCATTGTTCACCACTCATCATTCTCTTTCCCTCTTTCTCCTCCCTGTGGCCTCCACAAATAGTTCCTCAATAACAATCATGTGTATATATGATATGATTACATCCTGTTTAATCATTTCCAGTTTTAACTGCCATCCATTTTGTGTGTGTGTGTGTGTGTGTGTGTGTGTGTGTGTGTGTGTGTGTGCTAGTGTGTATGTTAGTCTTAAACTCAAGGCCTTGAACTGTCTCTCTCCTCTGATGCTTTACCACTTGAACCATGCTTCCAGTCCCATACTTTGCTAGTTAAGTAGAGATGAGAGTCACACAGACTTTCCTGCCAGGACTGGCTTTGAATTGGGATCCTCAGATCTCAGCCTTCTGAGTATCTAGGATTACAGTTGTGAGCACCAGTGCCTTGATGCTATCCACTCCTAAATGCGCATCTCAGGTCCTTCTGCAGCACTCCAAACACACATATCTAAATGTATACTATAAATAACCAAAAGATTATAAAATTTTATCTGTCTCCAGAAAATATGTTTTCTGTGTCCAGAATCTCTGTGAAGTACAGATTCAGAGTTGAAGTTACAGATGAGTAGGTGTGGGCTTGGTCAATTGTTTGATTCTGCTCACTGTCATCAGAGATCATGGATGGTCCAGACAAACCTGAACCCCTTAACCATTACTGATCCCTACAGATGCCCATCCTGAAACTACCTGTCAATCACCTCAGAATCCTTGCATTTGAAATCAGGTTCCCACCCCCAAAACTGCCTTGTGTGAGATTGCTTTCTTCTCTGAGATTGCTTTCTTCACTGATACAGTGTGAAGCTGCCGTTTCTACTCAACAAGAAAGCTAAACTGCTCTAGAGTGAGGATTTTTTTTTTTTTTGGTCCGGTTGTGGGGCCTGAACTCTGGGCCTGGGCACTGCCCCTCAACTCTTCAGCTCAAGGCTAGCACTCTACCACTTGAGCCACAGCGCCACTTCCGGTTTTTTTTTCTTTTTGCTTATGTGGTGCTGAGGAATCGAACCCAGGGCCTCAGGCATGCAAGGCAAGCGCTCTACCACTGAGCCAACTTCCCAGCCCCTAGAGTGAGGATTTTTTTTCCAACTAAAATTATCATAAATCTTTTCTTTTTTTTTTTTTTTTTTGTCCGTCGTAGGGGCTGAACTCTGGGCCTGGGCGCTGTCCCTCAGCTCTTCAGCTCAAGGCCTGCACTCTACCACTTGAGCCACCGCGCCCCTTCCGGCTTTTTCTGCTTATGTGGTGCTGAGAAATTGAACCCAGGGCCTCATGCATGCACGGCAAGCACTCTACCACTGAGCCAACTTCCCAGCCCCTCATAAATCTTTTCTAATTAGGACAAGTCTCGCTTTTACTTCATCTGTTCATCCAACCCCCCCCCCCCACCCCGTTCAAGAAGACATGCTTATTGGATGATAAATGGGTCAATCAAAACAAGAACCGCCTTTCTAAGGCCAAATAACGACTGTTATTCAAGGTCTCCCTGGCACTGGGGTTCTCATTCGTTGAAAAAGCCATCAGTCAAGTTTTAATTCACGCCTCCTCATGGCAAAGGGACTGGTCCAAACCCTAAGTTTGGGTCCACTAGCTAGCCAGACACAACCCAGCGCCAGGACAGCAGCCTTGCCTGAGCCCATCCCAGCTTCTCTCTGCTGGTGCATTTACAGTGTCTTGGTCCAGGCCCATTACCTGGGGCTGTGAATGATTGTCATGACATTAAGTACACAATGGGCCCACGACTCTTTGAACAATGGCTTTACAAGAAAATAGACTTCTGGAGGTGGGATCATAACATTTCAACTCGGCCTGCTGTGGTCTTGAGGATCTCCTCTAGAGCTTAGGTATTGGACTTTCATTCAGATCACTAGGGATGAATTATGGTGTGAAAAATAAAGTGTAACTGTTTAAATACATTAAAATTCGATTAACCAAAATATTTTACAAAGTTAGACCTGAAACTGATTTCTCTGTGATCATGTTTTTCAAAACAAAAGTTTTTTTTTTTAAGTTAATGTTATTGTCAAGTGATGTACAGAGGGGTTACAGTTACATACCTAAGGTAGTGAGTACATTGTCAAACATCATTACCCCCTCCCATTATTTTTCTCCCACTTTTCCTCCCCCTGTAAACTGCCCCCACTCCCAGTTGTAAAGTTCATTTCCAACATATTGTCTTGTGAATATTGCTGTTGCATTGGTTCAGTTTGTCCTTTGTTTCACCTCTGCCTTTGTGCCTCTGATAATACAAAATATTTGTCAAAATGAAGTGCAGAAAATGGAAACAAGGTTTCTTTGTTGCTGTTTTCCTTTGCTTTTCTGTTTTGTTTGTTCATTTGTATGTTTTGGGGAATGCACAGAAAACTAGATACTATGTTGAAAATGAACTATACAATTTTTGAATGGGGATGGAAGGGGAATACTGGGAGAATGTGAAGGAAGGGTTGACAGTGTCAGAAAACAAATGTACTCTTGCCACCCAATGGTGGCCCACACCTATAATCCTAGCTACTCAGGAGGCTGAGATCTGAGGATCACATTTCAAAGCCAGCCTGGGCAGGAAAGTCCATGAGACTCTTTTTTTTTTTTTTTTGGTCTGGTCGTGGGGCCTGAACTCTGGGCCTGGGTGCTGTTCCTCAGCTCTTCAGCTCAAGGCTAGCGCTCTACCACTTGAGCCACAGCGCCACTGCTGGCTTTTTTCTTTTTTACTTATGTGATGCTGAGGAATTGAACCCAGGGCCTCATGCATGCAAGGCAAGCACTCTACCACTGAGCCACCTTCCCAGCCCTCCATGAGACTCTTATCTCCAATAAAACCACCAGAAAACTGGAAATGGGGCTATGGCTCAAGTGGTTGAGCACTAGCTTTGAGCTGAAGAGCTGAGGGACAGCGCCCAGGCCGAGTTCAGGCCCCACAACAGACCAAAAAAAAGTAAAGTATTCATTATCCAATTTATGTAATTGTAACCTTTCTGTTTATCAGCTTTATTCACACACACACACATACACACACACACACACACACACAGAGCTTCTCTGGGCACCAATGGCTCATGTCTGTAATCCTAGCTACTCAGGAGGCTGAGATGCCAGAATCAAGGTTCAAAGCCAGCCTGGGCAGGAAAGTTTGTGAGACTTTTTTTCTCCAATTAATCACCAAAAGACCTAAAGTGGAATGTAGCTCAAGTGGTAGAGCATTAGCCTTGAGCAAAAAAGGCTTAAACAGAACCCAGGCCCTGAGTTTAAGCTCCCGGATCCACGTGTGTGCGCGCACACATGCATGTATACCCACATGTACCCTCCCACAAAGTAGCTTTCTCAAACCACATTTTGCCAAACATAGGTGACTCATGTTCAAAATTCTAGCTAATTAGGAAGCTGAGATCTGAGGACCATGATTCAAAGCCAGCCTGGACATGGAAATCCCTGACTCATATCTCCCAATTAACCACCAAAAAGCCAGACATGGAAGTATGTGTCAAGTGGTAGAGCACCAGCCTTGAGCATAAAAGCTAAGGAAGATTGTGAGGTCCTGGGGCTGGGAAGGTGGCTCAGTGGTAGAGTGCTTGCCTTGCATGCATGAGGCCCTGGGTTCGATTCCTCAGCACCACATAAGCAGAAAAAAAAAAGCCGGAAGTGGTACTGTGGCTCAAGTGGTAGAGTGCTAGCCTTGAGCTGAAGGGCTGAGGGACAGCGCCCAGGCCCAGAGTTCAGGCCCCACAATCGGACCAAAAAAAAAAAAAAAAGATTGTGAGGTCCTGAGTTCAAGCCCCAGTGCCCATACAATATAAAGAAAATATTATAGAAAAGTCTACTAGGGGGCTGGGAAGGTGGCTCAGTGGTAGAGCGCTTGCCTTGCATGCCTGAGGCCCTGGGTTCGATTCCTCAGCAGCACATAAGCAAATAAGAAAAAAGCCGGAAGTGATGCTGTGGCTCATGTGGTAGAGCACTAGCCTTGAGCTGAAGAGCTGAGAGACAGCGCCCAGGCCCCAGAGTTCAAGCCCCATGACCGGACCCCCCCCCCCAAAAAAAAAGAGAAAAGTCTACTAGGGAATATCTTATAAATATTAGCAATTACCTTCGTGTACCAGTGGCTCAAGCCTGTAATGCTATTGACTTGGGAGGAGATTGAGAGGATGGAGGCTGGAGTCCAGCCCCGGCAGAAAAGTTCAAGAGACCCTTTATCAACCAAGAGCTAGCACACCTGTCATCTTGGCTATGATGGAAAGTATAAAATAGGTGGATCATTGTCCAGGCACTTCTCCCGGCCCTGTCCTCCAATCTCTTTAACCCTCCCCCCATGAGAATTGAGACACAAAAAATAACCATTGCAGAGCTAGGCACTGGTGGCTGACACCTATAATCCTAGCTACTCAGGAGACTGAGATCTGAGGACCATAGTTAGAAGGCAGCACAGGCAGGAAAGTCCGTGAAACTCCTTATCTCTAGACATTAAAAGGCCCAAAATGGAGCTGTGGATCAAATGGTAGAGTGCTAGCCTTGAGCAAAATAGCTCAGTGACAGCACCAGGTCCTGAGATCAAGCCACAGACTAGCACACACACAGAAAAAGATTGTGTCTTTTGTTCTCGTCCTCCTATCTGCTGTGGGAGAAAATTGTGAGCCATTTTGCAGACAGGCTTCAATTTCTGTGTGTGTCTGTGTGTGTGTACAAAAGCAACAGCAGCCAGTCAAACTTTCAAGTGCTTTAATTAGATATTATGAGGAGAAAGGTAGACGTTCTAAACTCCATTCAACAACAGATTAGTCCTCATCCTCTGGCAGCTGGATCTTACTGGGGTCAAAGTAGTTGGACTCCATGATCGGGAGGCCATTGGCCTCTCGGTACTTCACCAGCCTCTCAGCTTCTCGGCGGGCCCACTCATGCATCCTGGAGGCAGCAGTAGCAAAAGCACATGTAAGGATTTGGAACTGGACACCAGCCCCATCTCAGCACCCCATTACCCACCATTCAAAGATCCTTTCAACCACCACCCCTCCCTCTGCCCCTGCCCTTCTCTTGGGGCATCCTATATACCCGTAGTCAGGCATATAAGCCACAAAGGTGGTGCCCAAGATCAGGACAATCGACATGCCAAAGAAGAAAACAACCCGCATGTTCCAGAGGTCCACAGCAGGGTTCTCATCATAACCATGATAGTCTGGGTTCTGTGGAGAAAGAGAGGTTTATGAGTGCTTCCTGCTTCTCCACAAAGTGGTATGCTAGGTCTTGTACAACCTGCTTTCCAGTCTCCCCCTCAGAACAATTTCCCTCCCTCACTAAATTATTGTGCTTCTTCTTAGGACACTGGAAAGGGCTATTTATATGAGTCAAAAAGAATTGAATATTGGCAATTCCCCATGGTTCAACCTAATAAAACAGCCCCCTCCGCCTATCCAGGTTTCCCATTGCACCATATACATGTGATAGGCGTTTTCAAATTCATAAACTTTTCAATATCCCAGTGAAGCAGGCCGTGGTAATAAGTATCTCCTAAGGCTGAATACTTTCAAAGTACCAGCTGCAGTTGTGAGCATTCTGACCCACTGAATTATATGAGGTAGATGTTATGACCACTTCAAAATCGGATTTTAAGGAGCAGATGAATACATACAAAGTGTTTAGAGCAGAGACTTGCTCTAAGCAAGTGGCCTGTATCAGTGTTAAAGAGTATGAGGACTATATGTCCTGTACTCCGTTTTGAACGCTACCCATTTTAGGTTTGATTTGTCTGCAAATAAAAGCACTCCCTCCCCCCCGACCCTGGACCAAAGATATCAGGGCACAAAAGAGGAAAACAAGCTAGGGAAAAAAAAAATCACCAAATTAAAAGTTTTTGCCAGTTGCGCAGTCTTCAATTTCAAAAGAACGTCCTCTAGAATGCCCCCGCCCGCCGGTCCCCAACTGACCCCTCCGGCATCCCGTTCCCAGTCCCTCTCACCTTCTCATAGACATTCTCGTCCTCCGGTTCGGGATCCTCCAGCCACTGGGCGGCCGGTTCTGGCGCCCGTTTTCCCGCCACAACAGTCTGGGCAACCACAGCCCGGGAGGAGCCGGATTCCCAACGCACTCGAGCAGCAGGGAGGCCGCGAGTCGTCGCGGCCGCCAAAAGGCGGTGAGTACACAATCTCAACAGTCCGGCCGCCATGACAGATTGTGCCGCTGGATCTCGGGGCGGAGACGGAAATACGAGTGTGCGCAGCTGCAGTTAACTACCGTGAGATCATTGTCGCTCCGCCCTCCCCTCACGAAATAGATCCCGGATCGTAGTTCAGGAGTGGGGAGGAGCATTGAGGAATTCTCTTTCTCGTCCCTGTCAGCCCCCCGCCCCAATCCGTTCTTTTATCTCTGTGAGCAGGCTGAGAAATTTTTTTTTCTTGACCTCTCTCACATCCCTCCCATGTAAGTGATGACATCTGGGAGGTCCTTAGAGAAAAGAGGTGGAGCTCCCGCTTGCCTTTCAACTTCAAAGGATAGGCAAGCTACGAAAAAGCGGGCCTTACAGGATTGGCCCACAGCTACTCTTTTTTTGGACTTTCTGGGGCGTTCTCACGGGTGTGGGGAGGTGGCATATGGCTGCCAATCAGAGGAGACAAGGGCTGGCCCTGGCGGGCGGCGGCCAATAGACGAGGCTGGCCAGAGCGCGCTCCCTTAGTAGGTGGATGGTGGTCGGAGTGCCGGCTGCCGTCTCCTCGTCGCCATTTTGTGCTGGGTATTGCGGCCGGCTGGGAGTAGGCAGCATTGAGTTTCCCTGAGAGGGCCGACCCTTAGGAGGGCCGCGCGCCTGGCGCTACTCCCCTATCCCTTTCCCCTTTGCTGCCCTGTGACTTGATTGCTGTGAACACCGGCCCGACAGCTGTGAGTTTAGGAGGAGGTGGCGGCGGGCCGAGGTGATGCCTGGGAGCCCTCCCTTGACAGCCCGGGCAGAGAAGGTGAGCGTCGCCGCTGGTCGTGGGGGCGGAGGTAAGGGGCTGGGGCGGAGGTGCAGTGTTCATAAAGAGGCGCGAAGACGGACTGCAGCCCAGCGATTTTTGCACCCAGCCAAGCTATGCATGCATGGTCCGAGCCCAGGAGGGGGTGTTCCCCCCCCCTCCTCTTTATGAAAGCAGAAGCGCGTGCGCGATTGGGACTTGGGATGGGTGCGCGCGGATAGGGGGAAGGGAGGTACGTTGTAAGTGGGTAGTGCTACGCCGAACTTTATTATTGAGAATGTGATTGCTCTGTTACTTTGCTACTTTTCTATCTATAGGGAAATGTCCTGTAGCGTGGGGAGGTTAGGGACGAAGGCGAGGAGAAAGCGATTGATATTTATCCTTGGGGTGTTGTATATCTTGCCTCTGGTCTTTGCCCATCAAGGGGCTTGGCCGTAACTCTGTGTGTGTGTGTGTGTGTGTGTGTGTGTGTGGTGTGTGTTGTGTGTGTGAGTATGTGTGTGTGCGCGCACGCGTGTGTGTGCGTGCGTGTGCGCACACGCAAGCGCGTGCGCGCGCAGGGATATGTATGGCGACTTTTTCTCCTCAGGAGTTCCCATCCGTGACACTGATGGTTGTATGTTGAAAGGGGCTCAGTATTTGATTGCAGCCCCCTACTGTAAATTCTTTCCGTGATTTTGATCCCTCGTTTTGGGGGTCTGGGGTCTGTAACTCTGGCTCCTGTTTGTGTTGTGTGGATGACCGTGCAGCTACTGGCCCTTTGGCCAGAGGGTTTTGTGTCTGCTTCTCAGCCGCTAGAGCTAACTTTTACTTATCAGGGAGCAGGTAGCTGGTTCCTCGCAGCTTGAGGAGGAAGAGAATTTTGGTGAGTGTGTTCGGAGAGGAAAGGTGTGGTGGCAACCTGGTGTTGGGCAGGTGTTTTAGCTGCCTGGCTTTACCCAGTTCCTATTCAGAGGGTGGGGCCTGAAGATTCTGGGATCGTTCGTTCGTGGGCAGGGTCAAATCGTTGTGAAGACTCTCTTAGTTCTCACGATAGTCTTTGAGAATTAGAGGAAACGTCTACTGCTACATCTCAGCGGAAGAACACACTGTTTTGGAACAATCTGAGGAAGGGCCCATTTTGCTTCTGGAAAACTTAACCTCGGAGCCCTGGGGAGAGAGGCACCACCTTGGGACCTGGCTACACCTCAGCGCCGAGCCAGTTGCTGTGTGAAGGCCAGAGCTGTGTTGGCTAGGAATCCAGGGAGGTGGCAGCTATCTCTTGTCAATTTAGCCCATTCAAACACACCCCCAAGAGCCTTTCATGCTAGGATAGAGGCAACATCTTCCTGGGAGATGAAATTGCACCTTGAGCCAGTTGAATGAGCCTGCTGAGGACTTGGGGCTCCCATTGTGATGTGTGGGGTTTTTGTTGTTTTTGCCATGTTGCAGATGGCACCCAGGGCCTTGGGAATGCTAGCCAAGTGATACACCACTAGCTGATAAATCCCTTGCCGATTGTGAAGTCTTATCTCCGTACCTAATGTGCCTAATTCGAGCAAGTGGGCCAGCACTGGGAGACTCCCCCTGGCCCTGCTGGGGATACAGCAGGTGGCTTGATCTTGGCAAAACCCAAATTGTAACACTGTTGAATCTTCCCACAGTTTACTTTACAATATGCTCCCTGTCTGATAAGGGCTTTGCTATTTCCTGGGACTGTGTTGGGGTGAGGTCTAGTGTCATGTGGAAAACAGGAGTGGGCTATAAGGGCTGCCTTCCTGTTCTGAACCACAGGAACACTGGGAGGTGGGCTAAGGGACAGCAGACAGCCAGGTCAATAAGTTTCCTTGAGAAACCCTCTCTGCCCCAACAGCGTTGACCCTTTTCTTCCTTCCATCTCTCCAGAGTCCCTGCAAGAGGCATCACCCAGGCTGGCAGATCATGGTGGCAGCAGCGGGGGTGGCTGGGAAGTAAAACGGAGCCAGCGGCTGAGGAGGGGCCCCAGCAGCCCCCGCAGGCCCTATCAGGACATGGAGTATGAGAGACGGTGAGTTACCCTATTCCCACCCTCCCAAGCACCCCTAGGTTCATCCCCACATAATAACTGCTCCTGGAAGATGTTGGTAGGGGCTCTGGATAAAAGAAGCAACACAGAAAAAGATTTCTGTTCAGCTTATGTGTTTGGGGCCTAATGTGAGCCAGGATGTGTGCTAGACTCTGGGAGTGCTACAGATGATTGGAGGTCTCCTTTGTGAGACCTGCTTGGTACTACTCAGATCTCACAAAGGAGATCTGAGGTGACTACAGAATAGCTTGATACATATGGGTGGATGTGATCACATCACAGGGTGTGTATGTAAAGGGATGAAAGGAAGGGAAAGGAATCCAGGCTGAGGCCCAGGTTTCTAGCTTGGGTAGGCCGGATATGGGTGCCATTCACCAAGGTGAAGGCAGCCACTATAAGAAGATGGCCAGAGGAGGAGGCATGGCTGTTGCCTGGGGTTTGAGGGGTGGGTGCTAGTATCATGGTCAGAGTTAGGAATTTGCCCAGAAGTATGAGGCAAGCCTGGTCAGATAGTGGAAGACTTAAGGGACAAGCTAAGCTGCAGTTGCCATGACTTGTCTTGGAAGGAGTAATTATATACAGGATTTTGTGTGTGTGTGAGTGCTGGTCTTGGGGCTTGAACTTAGGGCTTGGCCACTATCCCACTTCCAGCTTTTTCTGAGTAGTTTACTGGAGATAAGAGTCTCAGGGACTTTCCTGCCTGGGCTGTCTTCAAACCACGATCATCAGATCTCAGCTAGGATTACACATGTGAACTACCAGTGCTCAGCCATGGTTTTTTTGTTGTTGTTGTTGTTTTTGGGGTCCAGTCGTGGGGCTTGAACTCTGGGCCTGGGTGCTGTCCCTCAGCTCTTCAGCCCAAGGCTAGCACTCTACCACTTGAGCCACAGCGCCACTTCTGGCTTTTTTCTTTTTTGCTTATGTGGTGCTGAGGAATCGAACCCAGGGCCTCATGCATGCAAGGCAAGCACTCTACCACTGAGCACCTTCCCAGCCCCATGGCTTTGTTTTTTTTGAGGTTGATTCTCACTATGTAGCGCAAGCTGGGCTCAAACTCATGAGTCTTCTGAGTACTGAAATTACAGGTATATATTACCATATTTAGCACATATAGTGTGTCTGTCTGTCTCTCTGTTTTGGGGCTTGAACTCAGGACCTGGGTACTGTCCCTTAGCTTTTTCACTTAAGGCTAGTGACCTACCACTTGGAGCCACAGTGCCATTTCTCGTTTTCTGGTGATTACGTAGAGATAAGAGTTTCATGGACTTTGCTGCCCAGGCTGGCTTCAAACTGCAACCTTTAGATCTCAGCCTCCTAAGTAGCTAGGATTACAGTTATGACCTGCTAGTCCCTGGCTATAATTCTTTCTTTTAACTTTGGTATTGAACAAGAAATAGTTGATAGCTAGATGAAATAAAGATCTTGAGTAAAAGTCCATATTTCTGCATCACCCTATCTGGATGGAGTGGAGCACACCTCCTCACCATCCAGGTGCTTCTGAAGGAAATTATCCAGAATGTTTTAAGAGCTCCTCATGAGGAAAACTCAATTCACCTAGAAAAGCCACTGTTAACAGTTAACAGGAGCTGGGAATATAGCTTAGTGGTAGAGAGCTTGCCTAACATGCATGAAGCCCTGAGTTCAATACCTCAGTACCATATAAACAGAAAAAGCTGGAAGTAGCGCTGTGGCTGCTCAAGTTGTAGAGTGCTAGTCTTGAGCAAAGAGAAGCTCAAGGTCAGAGCCCAGGCCCTGAGTTCAAGCCCCAGGACTGGCAAAAAAAACCCCAGTTAGCAAAATGGGCTGGAGCCATGGCTCAAGTGGTATAGTCCCTGCATAACAAGTGTGGAAGTAAGTTTAAAATTTAGTTGTCAAAAAAGTATAAATGTAGAAATTGTGGTATGATAATAATTTTAGAAATGTCTTATGAAGGGCTTCTCCTGCCACAACCCCTTTTTGTAATGTAGCGTTATATCTGGGCAGTGGTAGCTCATGCCTATAATCTTACCTACCTTTGAGGCTGAGATCTGAGGTCATGGTTCAAGCCAGGCTGGGCAGGAAAGTCCATGAGACTCACCTCCAATAAACCACTCAGAAAACCAGAAGTAGTGCTATGGCTCAAGTGGTAGAGTACTAGCTTTGAGCTGAAGAGCTGAGGGACAGTGCCCAGGCCCAGAGTTCAAGCCCTATAACAGACCCAAAAAAAGGGGGAGGGGACTTTTTTCTCCAATTAACTACCAGAAAACCGGAAGTGGTACTGTGGCTCAGGTAGAGTTCTCACCTTGAGGTGAAGAGTGCAGGGCAGCACCTAGGCCCAAAGTTCAAGCCCCACGGATTGACAAAAAGAGAAAAAAATTCTTTTAAGGCCAAGCACAGTTGCTCACAT